TCGCGTGAAAAAAAGAGGAACTATTCTGGTGGGCCATAATCTTTTTAAGCCCAAACAAATTAAACGACATCAAAAAAAGAGTTGAACAAAAACGCAAACCGTGATGTTAAAAGAATGACGTGGAGGCCTCTCCTGCAAACTGAAATAGTGATGACGTGGCTTCATATGGTGAAGGGAACTTCTCCTTTATATATATAGACTATGTGTTACGGTTAGTTTATAAATCTGCATTGCTATGTGTTTGTTAGTTTTACCTTTCTTTATTTTATATGTATCTCAATAATAAGTAGGTTTTGTGTGTTTTGGTTGTTTCCTCCCTACCTAGTTATGTACTCCGTTAATTGTTTACACTTTGGTATTATAAGTTCTTTTGTTTTTGGGTTATTTGCAAATTGACTAAAAACATGAAGTCAACTTAAAAACTAATCTATTGTTTTTTTAGATTTTTATATTGCCTTATTTATCCTTCAAGTTCACATTATTTACGAAAATACTACTAGTCTTTTTTTTTTCTTTTCGAAAATGACATTTCTACTCTATCAACCTAATCATCTTCAATTATTTACAAGATTACCATTGCCATCAATACATCAACCACCACGAACAACCAATTTGAAGCTCTTAATGCACCTCAAATCGATTTACACTTCTTCTTTCTAAATTTTTATGAACTAAAAACAACATTTCTTTCACTTTCTCTCCATATTCATCCAAAAAACCTAATATTTTGATTCTAAAATTTTTATGGTTCATAAAGCCATTAAAGCTTACGATTCTTGGTGGATCACTTTTGTTTGAAATTCTGGGTGCTTAGAGAAAACTTCTCTGTGCTAAACAAGTTATCTCACATGTTGAAACTATGAAATCAAGATTTTTCTCCAAGTAAGATGTATGGCTGTAGACGACTTCCAGGTAAGTTGTCTGGTCAATGCAGAGGTTAGTTTTGAAATTTGCTTTTAAATTTCTTTTTCTAGACGACTTACATATAAGTCGTCCACCTTTGTTTGATAAAAAAACTCGAGACGACTTACATGTAAGCCGTCTAGGGAAAACAAGTTAGTTTTGCATTTCACCGGAATGTGTCAGATTTTTGACTTTTTCTGGACGAGTAAGTCCAATAGAAATTAAAAAATCAATATTTTGTTATACCTAGATGACTTACATGGAAGTCGTCTCAGGTTAGTTTTGCAATTGAAATATTAACAAATTTTTTTTTTTTCTAGATGACTTACACGTAAGTTGAACGACTTCCATGTAAGTTGTAGGACAGACGACTTACGTGTAAGTCATCTAGAGAAAAAAAAATTGTTTAATATTTCAATTGCCATCCTCAACTCTATCTCCAAAAATTATCGAGGATTTCGAGGGATTGATTTGTTGTCTAGACACAGAGCCATATAACTTCAAGCAACGTAAAACCTCAACACTTTCCATCAGATCAGCTCGACAGAGCAACAAGCTATCGTCAGCGAACAGCAGGTGGTGTACTGACGGACCTCCCACTGCTAACTGAATGCCATGTAAATGCCCTTGGCTCTCGGATCTGTTAAGCACACTCACCAGAGCTTCTGCACACATGATGAAAAGGAGTGGAGAAATTGGATCACCTTGTTGTATACCACTCTCAGGCCTAATGAAGCCATGTTCCCGACCATTGAGAAGAACAATGTAAGACACAGTACTCACGCATGTCATGACCCAGCACACCCATCTTCTATCGAAGCCCATCTTCTCCATAAGAGTTTCCAAAAAAATCCATTCAACCCGATCATAAGCTTTCGACATATCGGTCTTGATAGCCATAAACTTATTGTTGATCGCATTTTTAGTTCTGAGGCCATGGACCATCTCGTGAGCAACAATTATGTTATCAGAGATGAGCCGATCTTCCACAAATGCTCCTTGCGTATCAGAGATTAAGAAGGGCATAACTGGAGTTTGGAGATGATTTTATACTGGACAGAGCACAAACTTATTGGCCTTAGGTCCTTCATGGTGTCCGGTTTAGAGATCTTTGGTAAGAGACACAACTGCGTATGATTCCAACCCGTAGGGAGAGAAGATGTACGAAAAAACCTCTGTACTTCTTCAATGATCCGATCACCTACAATATGCCAATATTGTTGATAGAAGACACCCGTGATCCCATCCCTACCAGGAGAACTGCTACCTTTAATGGAAAAGGCAGATTTTTTAATTTCTTATGCTGTAAACTCCTTTGTAAGCATTTCATTCATCTCTGCAGTGACTTTAATTTGAAAACCTTCGAACAGCGATTCGAGATCCATCGGATTTGAGCTCATGAACAGGTCTCTAAAGTATTCCACCACTATGTTACCCTTAGCTCCTTCTGAGAAAACCTCTGACCCAAGAGAATCCTTGAGCATGACAATGTGATTCCTAATTTTTCTCCCCTTAACAACATTGTGGAAATACGATGTGTTCATATCTCCTTCCCGCAGCCATTGTTCTCTGCTTCTTTGTCTCCAATACCTCTCTTCATCTCCATGATGCTTTTATTTCTCTTTACATTGTTTGATGTTAAATTTTATTCCAACCTATTTTGTTCTGGAGTGAAAATAAAGTAGCAAATAAAATTATTATTTTATTTGCAGTTTAAATCAATTTTTATCTATTATATAATGAAAAATAGAATAAGTTTGAGTATTTCTTACTCTAAACTTCAGCTTATCTGATCATTAGTTTTTACAATCTCATGATCAAAAACATGATAATTTATTTGTTTTAATTTATAAAGCAAACTATTCTGGTTGTTAAATAAAATTGGTTGACAAAATAAATCAGTTGTTCTCAATACAAATAAATTTTTGGGGAAGTTGTTTTGTAGGCCAAAAAATGATAACTAAGTCTAATTAGACTAATTTCTATTTGTACCAATTTTGTCTAACATCATTTAGTATTTTCAAAAATGAATTAAATAAATAGTTTATAAACAAAAAAAATTGGAAAATAGTAACTACTGATGAAATACCGATATCAATTTAATGATATTTTTTTTTTCAATTTCTAAGAGTATCTAAATCACAATTTCAGATTATGTTCTACATAAAATAGAAAATAAAATCTAGTTTTTTCATTGAATCTACTACGTTTTGAATACATATTCTACGTAATTAATAATAATCCAAATTTATTAGAAATACACATTCTGCTTTTAACCTATTTCTCAAAAACAGTAGAAATCGGAATTTACATATTACTTATAAATCTATAATCAATAGAAATCAAAATTTATACACTATTATAAATTTAAAATTTTGTAAAAAATGATTTTAAACATTATTATTGTATTTTACATATAGTAGAATACATATTTTACGTACAATCAAATGCGAAAATATGGCAAGAAAATATTTAAAATATTTAATTTCCATATATGAGAAACCGATTTTTCAAGAAATTTTTTTTTTAACAAGTGCATATTTTTATCACTTTATTTTTTTTTAACAACACTTAAATTATTTATTTTTACTTTTATTTTACAACACTTTAATTTTTAATGTTTTATTTATTTTAATTACTTAATTTTTTTGGTAACACTTTAATTATTTATTATAATTTAATATTTAATAATTATTTTTAATTGATAATTACGAATTTTAATTAAAATTAAGAGTTATATTACCATTTTGAAAATATTCAACCTAATAGAACATAAAGTATATGAGATTATCTAGTGCTAAATAGTTACCATTCATTTCTTTTTTTTGTCTAAAAATGATTTTCCCTAACCCCATTTTTTTCTCGAAAAAAGATAATAGAATAATTTGAGGATGTATGGGAAAGTAGGAATGTTCATTTGAGAAGAGTAAAAAACCCTAGAGACTCTCCTTCAACGCTATTCTCTCCTTTCTCGCGATCCGATTTTTCATTTTCGCCGTTACTTTTCCAAAGGATGAGGGGATTGGTGAACAAGCTCGTGTCCAGATCTCTCTCCGTCGCCGGGAAATGGCAGAACCAACAGCTTCGCCGTCTCAACATCCACGAGTATCAGGTTCTTCCTCCTTCTTTTTGAGTACGATCTGTGTCTTTTTGTCTCTTGTGATTGATTAACCGTTAACTGATTGAAGCTAGAGATTAAGCATCTAAGATCCGTATGAAACGAGTTGACGAGTTTGTTTTCAATTGATTGTGCAGGGAGCTGAGCTGATGGGTAAATATGGAGTGAATGTGCCCAAGGGAGTCGCTGTTTCTTCACTCGATGATGTTAAAAAGGCCATCGAACAAGTTTTCCCTAATGAAACCCAGGTACTTACTGTCTTGGCTGGCTTAAGAGCTTAACTTTATAGCAATCTTTATTAAAAAGAATACCTCTTTTGCTCGTGTTACAGTTGGTGGTTAAGAGCCAGATCTTGGCTGGTGGAAGAGGTCTTGGAACTTTCAAGAGTGGTCTTCAGGGTGGTGTTCACATTGTCAACCGTGATCAGGTTCAAGATATTGCTGGTATTGCTGCTGGGTTTTCTTCTTTATGCCCCTTTTTCAAGTTTTGACAAATCTCTCTCTTTTCTTGATCCAATTCGATTTTTATCGTTTTTAGGAAAGATGCTAGGACAAGTACTCGTCACCAAACAAACTGGTTCTCAAGGCAAAGTTGTCAGCAAGGTTATTATTCTTGTGACTGCTTTAGCATTTGTATTTATTCATAATTCGTTTCTTTTTGCTCAGCTGTTAACCTTTTATTTTATCTGATGGTAATTGTGAGCAGGTCTACTTGTGTGAGAAATTGTCACTTGTCAATGAGATGTACTTCTCCATTATTCTGGACCGTAAATCTGCTGGACCGGTATGCTATCCCGGATAATAAATTGATAGACACTTCTCTACTTCTTTGGAATAATCTTTTCTCACACTTTTCAGCAATCTCTGTAACGCTTTCTTTGCCTATTTCTAGTTGATAATTGCCTGTAAAAAGGGTGGCACCAGCATTGAAGATCTTGCTGAGAAGTTCCCTGACATGATCATTAAGGTTGTGACTTTTTTCATTCATATTTGATCATTATTATAATATCCTCTGTTCTGATTCTCATTTCATGGTTCTCTGTAGGTACCCATTGATGTATTTGCAGGAATTACTGATGAAGATGCTGCTAAGGTTGTCGATGGTCTGGCTCCAAAAGCTGCTGACAGGAAAGATTCGATTGAACAAGTGAAGAAGCTATATGAACTCTTCCGCAAGACTGACTGCACAATGTTGGAAGTGAGTACTCTCTCAGTGTCTTGTTTATACCCAACTCTTTTTTTGTTTTTGTGTATTCAATATCTTTTGTTGAACCCTTAAAATAATTTCTCTGTTAGATCAACCCCCTTGCTGAGACATCCACTAATCAATTGGTAGCTGCTGATGCCAAGTTGAACTTTGATGATAACGCTGCTTTCCGTCAGAAAGAGATTTTTGCCCTGCGTGATCCTACACAGGAAGATCCACGAGAGGTATGGTCCATTCGCTGTCTTTTGCATCGTAATCTCGTCACCAAGGAATCTATGTTATATCAAAACTTATGGATATCTAACTCTAGAAAAATGTTAGAGGATATCACGAGTGTTAGATAGACTAACTAGATTTTTGTTGGTTTAGCTGCTTTGTTTATTCATAATGTGTTGATGACAGTTAAGGTTAATTAAAGCAGAAAGATTAAAACCAACATTTAGCTTTCTGTATACACTTTTGATTTTATTATCAGGCTGAAGGAAAGTATGTTTGCTTCTTGTAGGTGGCTGCTGCAAAAGTAGACCTTAACTATATCGGTTTAGATGGAGAGATTGGGTGCATGGTGAATGGTGCTGGATTGGCCATGGCAACCATGGACATCATTAAACTGCACGGTGGGACTCCTGCAAATTTCCTTGACGTTGGTGGAAACGCTTCTGAACACCAGGTAAAGGATACTGTTAGTTTCTGGTTATCAAACTTGATGATTTAAACCAGTCTAACCAAACGGTTGTTATTTTTAAAAATAATAGGTGGTAGAGGCGTTTAAGATACTGACATCGGACGATAAAGTGAAAGCAATATTGGTGAACATATTCGGTGGGATAATGAAGTGTGATGTGATTGCTAGTGGCATTGTAAATGCTGCAAAAGAGGTGAGAAACTGAAGCATGCATACGTATATTTAAATAAGTGATGATGCTCTTTCTCTGACTGAGATGTTGTGAAACCAAACCACATGATAGGTGTCACTGAAAGTGCCAGTGGTGGTTCGTCTAGAAGGAACAAATGTTGAACAAGGAAAGAGAATCCTCAAGGAAAGTGGAATGAAACTCATAACAGCTGATGATTTGGATGATGCAGCAGAGAAAGCTGTAAAAGCATTAGCTAATTAGGCTTTAAGGTGATTGTTTACCGTCTCTCTTTTTCTACAAAAGCTTTTGTTTCTTGTGGGGTTTTCTTTTCTATGGTTCCCAACCATTTTTAATGGTCGACGCAATCGCATATTGTTGCGGATATAATTTGCTGAAACAGATCAAATAATGAACTGCTCTTTTTTTTACCTGTGTGATTACATCAAAAAGAAAATAAATTGTTACTCATCTTTTAAGGTCACAAGGGGACACTCATGATAGAGATCGCCGAATCAAGCTCCGTGATCAACCATTTAGGGATTCTGCCTTGATATTTTCCCATAACAAATCACCAAGACTTCTCAGTTCCAAATGCAACTTCAGCTTTATGAGGTTTTGAATAGTAAAATAACTTTAGTATTTAAAAACGTCATATTTGAGATTCCATCTTTTTGCATTATTGGCAAATGAATTTATGAGGAATTATAAAATCTTAAGATTCTGTTATTATTGGGTTTCTAAAATCTTAGTAAATTCTCTTGTTATTGGTTCAATGACTTTTTTAACTCTATCCAAAATCTATTGTTATTGAAAAAGTTTATGTATCATTGATATTATAATTCTATTAAATTTTGCTCTTACTAGGAAGTAAATTCTAAATATATTTATTCATAATACTCAATTTTGTAAATATCTAGTATACTCCTAAGATTTTAAAAATTTGTGAAATAAACACACGTATAAACACAGAAAAATAATTCATTTCTTTTATAGTTTCTAAGAACATAATCTAGAAACACAAGAACATAATCTAGAAACACAACTTCAATTACGTTAGCTCTGTCAATCTTATGGATGTTCTTATCATTCGAACCTCAAGAGAAATGTTAACAAAATATATATGTACACGAAGATCAAGAGGGAAGTCGATGAACATGATCAATACAGTGAATTATTTTTAGATGAAATATTTTTTAATAGATAGAACTGCTCATGTGACCAGAAAATCGTGAAGAGGTACTATTGTTCCAAACTCTACTTCATTCTAATATAATTTATATATATATATATATATATATATATATATATATATATATATATATATATATATATATATATATACTTACGACAGTTTTCCACTTCCATTAAAGGATACAAATCAAGCATAATTTTAAGAATAGTATATGCACAAACGTGATATAAGCAATATATCAATTACGTGACGATATATACACTTTACATATTACATAAAAAATGAAAAAATTATAGAAAACTTGTACATAATATCTTAAAAGGAATTATAAAAAAATATATGGAAACCATAAAAATCAGTAACAATCAATAAAAATCAATGCAAAATATTTGATAGAAGTCATACAGTACTTGTTTAATCTACTGAACTTCCTAAAATCACTCAACTTTTAAAATCATCAGATTCTACACAAATTTTGGTTCCAATAACCCCCCCCCCCCTTAGTAATTACAATGATGCATTGTTGTATCTTATACAAAAGTTCTTGCAATTATGTATTTTGAAAAGTTGAAGTTGCTTTGTAATGTTTTGAATGTATGATTTTAGTTTTTTATAATTTTTTCTTTAAAAATCATGATTAATAATAAATCTTTTAAATTAAAATACAAAATTGATGGTTTTATTTGTTGTTATATGAAGATACACAGAACTTTAAATTTGAAGTTTTGACAAGAATATTCTAATTGAAATAGTAACATAACATAATTTGAAAACCAGGGTGACAAGAAGATACCATATGCATTGATTGCAAGTAAGCACAAAATGTTTTCAGAGAAGTGAATATCTGAAGACTGAAGTATCTTCTAATATTTATTTGAGTTTCATGTGTCACATCAGTATTGAAAAAAACATATTTTGTGCCTATTGTCACAAGGAATATTCTGTTGCAATAATGTCCCACCCTAATTATAGTACCTTAATCTACTTGTTAGAGCATCCAGATTGGTTAAAAAAGAAAAAGTAGGTGAGAGATGGTAGAAAAGAAGGGGATACGATTTTTGGCAGAGGGACGTCTCTTTACATTAAAGAATTTTTGAGCCATGTGTCATTTTATCATTAATTTAATTTTGTTTTAGAGATTAAATTAAATTACAAAATAAAATTACTCTAAATAACTAATATAGTAATGACAAGATACTATTGAGAAGATATTACCCGCTAAGAGCACCATCAATCCTAGGACTTCTAATGGGTATTTAATCACATTTTACTAATAAATGTGTGTTTAGCATTTTAGTTTCTAATATTTTTTGCCTCCAATACAAGTTGTTTATTTTGGGGTTCTTTAAAAAATACAAGACTTGAAGAAGAGTAAAGTTTTACAATCAAGATGGACAAAGCAGAACGACCAAGTAAACCAGAAGTGTACCTCTAAGCCCTTTGCATACGAGTTGATGAAAAGCTGTGACTTCCCAGCTATTGTTCGTGAATGCTACTCAGGTACTTGCTTATCTCCATCAATAATAAGGAGCAGTCTATTTTATTGTCAAGGAAAACACAAGGAAACGAAAACTAAAACAAGAGAATGATCCCATGATATTTAAAGCGAGAATCAAATTCCACATTTAAAAAAAAAAACCTGAACCTGATTTTCGAAATGAGAACATCATTTGATTATGAACCATTGGGACATTACAAAGACGAAGAAGACTTTAAAGGTATTACAGAGGGTCTCTCTTGAGGAACGACACCAAAAAAGTTGTTCTTCCACCATGGTGGCTCTCCAGACAAACCGAAAGCAACAAGACGTTTGGCTTCTTCATTGTCACCTATGAACACTCACAACATCAGAAACGTAAAACAAGAGTATATAAATGAATCTAGTGTCAAAGACTCACGTGAACATGGTAACGAACATCATCAAACTCAATCCATTGATAATCTAGCTCCACTGCTTTATCATGACCGGGACAAACAAAAAACCATTAAAAAAAGCTAAGAAAGATATAAAAATCAAACTTATCTTACAAAACACAGATCAGTTCTTGGGGAAAGGTTTAAGATTTCTTAAGCCAGTGATCATCATATTCCAAGTTACAGAACTTCTCTCAGAAATTTCGTCCAACACTTTGTAACTAAATCGGAAAGAAACTAATTAGTGAAAGAGATAAGATGAATCACCTGGAGATGCTCTCTTCCATCTTCTTACGGCCTTCCTCGTGCGCTTTCTCTCGGATTTTCTGCAACACCAACATGATTCCTTTGAGATCGCTGCACGATCCACACAGAAATCAATGGTGAGTCACAATCTACGTTAAAATCAGAAGAAACGAAGAAGGATGCGGACCTGGAAACATCGAGATACAAATCATCGTGGAGTTTTTCGTTCGGTGTTTGCTTCTTGAGCGATTGAAGCGGCGGCTCCGGGCATGCTCTCTTGGTGCTCTTTCTGGTAGAAGACATTGCAGATGAACGACGAGAGGAGAAGTGAAGTGAGACAATGGGACGAGGTCGTTATTGGTTGATTCAGTATCGAAAGAGAAGAAAGGTATGAGTGGGTGAAATCGATTTGTGTCTCTATGACTGAAATTTGGTCAGATTTGTTTTTCCAGAAAGAGAGAGAAGAACAAGCACTGTTGCTTCTGTGTCTTAATTAAGCGCTCTTAAGGTAATTATGATTTTTTTTTAATTACAAAAAAAAACTAAGCATTCCTCCTGAGCACTCCCATTAATGGTGCTCTAATGTTGTTCTTAGTTTCAAGTTCTCCAGTTATATAGAAAAAAGAATAAGAGTATTGTTGTAGTTAAAGTGAATGGTAGCAGTACAAGACTGGAGACTAAAAAAATCTAATATTGTTAATTGGTATGTTCAGTAAGAATTGATTAGCCATATGTCCAAGCATGAACGACTCTTCTTCTGTCTCTCCTTTTCAAAAGTCATCTCTGTTGTCGAATTGAGGCATAGATCTCACAGAACCAGTCTCAGACACGTTATCCACGTCAGATCTTCTAATCGATCTAGCTGATCCGCCTCCTCCAGTTTCTTTCGTCTTCTTCTTCCTCCTTGATTTCCTAGGAACTTCCGGTGATGTTCCTACACTTGGACTAGACCACGAAGAAAACTCGTTTAGTTCAGACACTTCCTTTGGTCTTCTTGACGATGATGAGGTTCCTTTTTTCGAAGATCTGCGTTTAGTTTTGTCTGATGATGATATTTCCCTTGTCGGAGAACCTTTCTCGGAAGCCGCTTTCCTCGTTGATTTTGGTAGTTTTGGTAAATCTCTGGTCCGATCGCCACATTCCGACATACATTTCGCAGAGGAATCATCTTCTCCACCTCCTTGTCCAGAATCGATTCCTCCACCAGTTTTGAAGTCGTTCATCTTTCAAATATGAAAAATATAGACCACACATTAGAACCAAATGAAATTACTACTAAAAGAAAAATTATTCCTGGCTAGGCATGCATGCATGCATAAGGTAATTATACGTACCCAGCTTGGTGCGGAGGCAGGAGTAGCAGATGGTCCATCCCAACCAATATGGGCAACATGCTTTACGTCCGTCGGATTTCCGATCTCTATCTCTTCTTCTTCTTCTTCTTCTTTTCCAATTTCTACCATAAATTTTATAACCAATATAATACTCCCAAAAATATGTATTAATTGAATGTATTTATGATTACTATACCATAATTATTTATTCATTCCCATTCAACATGTACAATGCATGCAAACTTTCTTCTATACGTGATATATAGGTTAGAGTATTCATAGTTTATGATTCAGAAACGTAGTATAAACTTCGAAAAGGAAGAAGTTAATTACCAAATACTTGAGAAATGTATCGGAGGCCTTTCAATAGGCTTTTCATACTTGAGCTTGCCATTGTTTGTTGTTGCATAGATCTTGAAGTCCGGCGCTTTTTTTTTTTGTTTACATAAGAAAATGAAAGAAAAAGGGCTAGTAATATGGAAACAGAAAATGAAAAAAAATCAAGAAGACAAATCAAAGAAAAACGATTGCATACAAAAACAAGGATTTTACAATCGCAAAATGTTGGGTTTTGAAATACTCAGCACTTTTCCAGAACAGAATAATTTGGCGGCAATCAGATAAGGAGGAAAACAATCGTATGAAAGATCACAAAACTGACGAAAGAAAATTGCATCTCAGAAAATTGTTGGTTTATCTGAAATAGCGGATTATCCTATATTAAGAAAAAATCTTCGAATTTCAGGAGTAAAATAACAAGGAACAAAGGTTTAGCAAGCGAAGAAATGAAAAAAAGGAAAAATCAAAGGAAACTAAAGAAAATGATTGTTTGAAGAGTAATGGTGGATGTACCACGGTAAAAACGAGGGGAAATCTTTGTTTTAACCAATATTCCCATTATTCTTATGGTTAATATTTTTGTTTTAGTTATTAATCAGAACTAATCAAATTTAGAATTTGTAACTTTTGTTTGAAACACGACATATTTTTCATTCATAACTTTTTTTTTTCTTCTTCTTTTTTTCGAAAAAGAGCTTTCGATTTTTCATTCATAACTTACATGGATAAAATCAAAACATCAGACATACGACGTGCGGTCATTTGGAAAAATCAAAAGCAAAATAAAATAAAGATAAAGACTAAACTTTTCCATAAAGTATCAAAATCGATTTGAAAAGAGCCACTAGCGAAAGATCTCATGGAATTGCGTCTTTTAAACATTCATACTTGGAAATAGTCACTGTATCTATAGTCTCATCGAAATATCTTTCGATCTCAACTGAACCTATACAACATAATCAGCTGTTAGCAAAACGACGATACTCTTTGACTTTCGACCAAGAAAAGATACTTCTCATGGAGAGGAGTTTTATGAAAGTGCATACTGTGGCTAGATTTATGTGTCATAGTCCTGTTAGAATACGTGTGAGCCGCGTAAAGTTAAAACTACATAGAAATTTTTATCGAGGTTCGGTTTTCATATATTTCCGGAACTTAGTCCAGAACAAATTCACTAGAGCAAGTTGTAATTACAGTTGCTATGTTATCCAACACTACAATGTCCACCATTCTATTCTTTTTTATAGTGATGAACTATGAAATTATTTTGTTTGTAACATAATTCTGAGCTTGTAAATCTAGCATATCGGGTTAAATTAAGTCAATGGTGCCACACCCGCTCTCACGTTTGAACTTTGACCGTATACGTTCTCCCATTTTTTATTTAATTTACTTTGTTGATGTCAAATTAATGTGTCTAACTATTATTTGTTCTTATATATTAGTTTTACCATTTCTTATTCTCTTTAAAATTATTAAAATAGTTATATCTGTACTTATTCAACTTTGTTGTGTAAATGTCAATTTTGGATTTAAATGTTTTTAATTTATTTTATACTTCCTTATTTCAAAAAATAATAATTTTATATTTTATGCTTATTAAAAATATATTCCAACCTAATAAAAATATATATTATTTCTGTGATTAACTAATAACATAATAAATACATTTAATTGTTCAAAATTTACAGTTTACCATTATTATCTTATATAAAATGTATTAAAAATGTAAAATATATATCTTTAAATTTACTTTTTTCATTTTTGAAAAAGTGCATATTTTAAAAATATTTATCTAACGAAAATAGTATTTAAATTAATTCAATATATACTATAAACATATATTATCTCTATAATAATATAATAGATATCATAGAATATTTTAATAAATTATATATAAATATAAAGTGCCCCATATAGATTATTTTTTGAGGTCCGTCCCTGTTGACTACCATCCAGCAACATTGGAGCATCACTGTCTACAAACATTGCGATCTTCGTAGAATGTGACCACCAAGATCATACAAATCTTTCTGGTGAGATGACACCACACACAGCTTGTGTTCCTCTCTTTAAAATACCCTAGGCGTGCATATCTTCTACAAAAGGCGGCCTCTTGGTATTTAAGTGATTGTCCAACCCTAAACTCTAGGTAGGATCTCTAAGCAATTTTTCTTTTTTTCTTCTCATAAGAATAAGGAAGTTTTCCATCATCTTAAACCTACTATTTAAGATGATTATCCAGTTAAGCAGACACCTCTTGGCTTGTCCAAGTCGTCCCTAAGATTTTGTCCACCTCTGTGACCTAGCTTCTTGTTAGCAATCGCATAGCTCTGTTCCTGACGTATTTCTTGATCTACTCCCTGCAGTACGTCCTGATCTATTTCATATAGTATCTCCTGATACACTTTCCGTATTATTTTCTCAAACCAGTCAGTATTACATCTTCATTTTAGTGGAAAGATTCTCTCATACTAAAGAAGTAAAAAAAATGATCTTAAGCTGTACAGTTTTTGATTATCTTACAAAAAAAGAGTCTTAGCTGGATCCATATTTGTAGGAATCGAAATATCCGCACAAACTTACTTGTAAAAAAAGTTAGGAGTGTTGGAACTATTTTTATGAGCACTATGAATAGTATATTCATATGTTAAAAATGAATTTTATTTGAATGAGAAATGTAGGTTTAATGTGTATTTTGAGAAATTTTTATAAAGTAACAAATATACATATTTGATATTTGATTGGATTTGGGTTTTGATTTGTTAGTTGCACTTAATGTTCATTAACTTAATTTTATAAACCAAATATATGTTGATCTTTTATATTGATAAAATATATAAAAAAAAATCCGTTGGAAAGTATATTATATAGTTTGAATGAGTCAAATAACAATAATATTATTTTTTAATTTTTTGGTCAAAATGTGGAATAAACTTACATAATATTTGACAAAAATTAAAGTTTCCATCATGGCACCATTGGAGGTTTCATTTCTATGTTGAAAATGAGATTTGTGCTTCTCATTATTTTTTTTATAAAAAGGATTGTTAGCATTCTAAAAAAAAACACACACATTCAACAACACAAAATCAATCTCTCCCTCTTAGAATAGTTATGCTAATACTATTATTTTATTTTGTGTCCTGAGAGTACAACACAAAAAGAGGTACGTTAACTTCTATTCTAAGTGATGTGGAATAATCGAAGTGTGGTTGTATTTTGGGATTCTGATTGCGTAAACCCCATCACACTACGGGCAATTACAGAATTAAGGAAATAATGTCTCGCCTCCACACAAAACCGGTATTTGTTCATCATATTTCGGTATCAAATATTGTATATTATATTTTTGTTTTTACTATTATATAAACAAATTATCCAATTTACCATATTGTAGAAATTATTGTCCTACAATTTTAATTATTTAGTTTTCGTTATTATACTAACGAAAACTGATTTGTTAACTTTTCATAAGAACATAATATGGATTTGTGATTTTTCCTGCCAGTTTTACTGTTTTAATATTGTGTAATTTTTGTGGTCTTGCACTAACATTTTTTTTTGCAGGATCGCTTGAATTATTTAAAATAATTCTCCTGCAGTTTCGTGTTTGTTGTTTGTGATTTG